GTGGGGGGCAGCACAGAGCGGCTGGAGGAGAGTGTGGTGTGACGGGGCGTGCCCCGCGGGCTCCGAGGAGCCAGCAGCGCTGCGGGCACTGGGCCCGAAGCCGCCGCCTGGCTCGGAAGCCCCTCCCTGGTTTTTACTCTTGGTACCTCAGGCTCTCCTGTGTACTTGGCGGGGCAGGGAGCCCTTTCCTCAGCTCTGGCCTCCGGACTAGGGTAAGGGGACACGTCCCTCGGACAGGTGCTCACAGCCACCACAGCAGGGGCTGCAGCCACCCAGTGGGAGTCTTGTTTTTATTTATAATAAAATTGTTGGGGACACCTCAGTGCTAGTCTCTGGTCTCATCTGGCTAGGTCTGGAAGGGGAGGAGGGAACATGGCGGCTGATAGAGGCACACGACCAGGACGGGTATCAGGCCCGGAGCTGCCAGGCCCACGAGAGGCAGCCTGGGCCCTCCAGCCTCATCTGGCCGTGGAGGTCAAGGGCTCGGGCCTGGCGTCTCCTGAGCTGGGTGGGCCCTGGAGCAGCCACGGGCTTGGGCAAGCTGCCAGGCACTTAAGCATATCTGTAAGTGCTGAAGACTTACAGGCAGGGACGGGATGCGGTGCTCTGCGTGTGTGAGGCCTGGGCACGCGGCACCAGCACCTTCCTACAGCACGTGGTGGGTTAAGTCAGTGTCAGGGCTGGTCTTGGCGGCGCGAGGTGGTAGAAGGTAGCGTGGCCCTTCTGGGCAAACGCGCCTGGGCTGGCAGCATTCTTCTGAGCACAACTCGATAAAAAGTCCCCACGGCTCCATAGGTGACAGCTCTGTCCACTATCTCCCAGATCATCTTCTGGATTTGCAAGATGCCACCTCAAAGCAACTGGAAAGGGCTGGAAACACCACTGCCCTGCTGGCAGCCAGCACCCTCTGGAAGGTTCCTGCCAGAACTGCAGGCCCAAGAAAGAGCAGCTCCCACCTGCTCCAGGGATGTCCCCTGTGGCCCTGCCCTGGGCTTTCAGAAAGTTGGCGTGGCCTTCTTCCTTGCAGGAAGATAGCCAGGTGGGGGCACACGCGTGGCTGCTCTCCTACTCCAGTCCCACCCTGACACGCTCTGCCCCACTCCCTCTGCTGGGGCCTCCAACTAGGCCCTGGCAGCCCCTGAGCCAGGCATGGCGCCTGCGGCCTCCTGAACCGTCTGTTTCTGGGTGGGGTGGGCACGCCACACACAAGCCCTCAAGGGTCAGACACACCCAAGAAGGTGGGTGCTGGCATCCTAGGTCACAGTGAATGTGCCACACAGCTGCGATGGGCAGCCCAGGTGAGGCTGGCACTGTAGGGCCCGCATGTGCACACGTGTGCAGGCTGACTTACATGCATGTGCCCGCCCTCCCACTCGGGACACACAGCTGGATGTGGGCTTAGAGAGCCCAGTTCCAATAAACAGGAACAAGGGCCTCGACCAAAACAGGCAGGGGAGCTAGACCCCTCTCGGGTGGTGGCAGGGGTCGGAGATTGACAGGAAGCTCGGGGCCCGGCAGAGCCAAAGGTCTGGTCTGGGCGCACATTGAGGAGGCCGTGGCACCCCCAGTCACCAGAGGCGTTTGTCCAGCTGCTAGCCCTGTGGTCACCGGCCCTGGTGTCCTGTCCTCCACCTTGCAGGGAGATGGGCTAAGATGGAGAGTGTTCCTGGGCCCTCCAGGGTGCAGGACAGCTATGTAGTCCTATGGCCCAGGGAGCCGCCAGCTTGGCACACAGGTGGGACCTGGGTGCTGAGGGCAAGGAGGGAGGAGAGGAACTGGGCACAGGCACCTGCCAGGACCACCGTGGCAACATGGAGCGACGCGTGGGGGCAGGCGAGGGATGGCGGTAGCCCAGGTCACGTCACTGGCCACACAGTCCCTCCTGACCCCGGAGCTGCCACAGCACACCCCTGCAGGAACGCCAGGGCCCCACAGCGAGACGCAGGTGGAACACACTATGTTGGAAGGTGACATGACATGGCCCTGCCATGGGTGCAGAACACGGACCCCCTGACAAGGACCCAAAGAGGCTCCCTCAGGAGACTGCAGACCCTGACACCGGGAAGACGTGCTGTCCCCTCTCAGGCTGCAGGCCTGAGGGAGTCGGGCTGGCCAACATGGAAGGTCAGGCCCGGAAGTTTCTCTGCGCCTCTTTCAAAAGGTCTCGGCACTCATTGGGGCAACTGCTGGGACACGCCATCAAGTTATGTGGACAGATGAGGGGACTGGGGGCCCTTAGGGGACAGCGCTGCCCACATGCTCCACCCAGCCAAGCCTAGACGACAGGCAGGGCTGGAAAGAACCATAAGGAGGTTGGCGAGGCCAAGTTGAGAGGCCACTGGCCGGCACCCAGCACAGCCCGCCCTGTGGGGACTCCTGAAGGAGACAGGGAGGGGCTCGCACAGTGGTGAGGGCCAGAGCCCCGCCCTCAGGCTCTTCTGGACCTGCCATTGTGAGGGCGGCACCCACGGAATACCTGGGCAGGTGCTGTTTCAAAGGACGAGGCAGCATTTCTTGGCGGTGAACCCCTCTCACTACAGAGGCTGGTAACGGAGCCCAGCAAAGAGGCAGTGGGCACGGAGGCGCCTCGCCTGCCTGGCAGGGCGGCCCCCACGGCCAGACAAAGGCCACGAGCTGCCAGCCCGCCCGGGGTGGAGCCACCTGCCTCCCCGCCCTTTGCCCAGGTCTCCCGGCTGCGCCACACTCCTTGGCTGTCCCTGAAGCACCTGGCACTGCAAATGCCAGGCCAGGCGGAGGGGCGGAGGGGCGGTGGGGGCTGGCAAGGTCTGACTATGCAAAGTGACCTCATCCAACAGGGCTTGAACTCTTGCCCGGGTGTCCACGTTTTCCCAAAACAAAGAATCACCCGGGGACCTATTCCAAACATAGGCTCTGGGGCCACGGCCCAAGCCTGTGGGACCAGGATTTCCAGAAGGAGGTCCTGGCCGTGTTTAACACATATTCCAGGTGACCCATACCCTGGAGGGGCAGGAAACGGTGTGAGTCTCCCCAGAACAAGACTTTAGACAGGAGGCCCTCAGGCCTGAGCATCAAAGTATCTGAGGAAGAGTTCCCGGGCCCTGGCCTGCTCCTAGGATGCTTGGAGGGGGAGACCCTGGCACCCATGTATTGGCTGCAGCCAGGGGAGTGTGGTGTGCAGCTGAGGCCAAGGAGAGCCACAGACGTCAACAGAGTCCAAGTCAGGGGCAAGACTGAGGCAGGACCACGCGCCAGCCCCTTGGCGAGGACACGAACGGCTGTGGGACCCTCTGAGGGCCAGAGCAAAGACGGGCGGGGGCTGCAGCCTCTCACCTTCACACCTCGGACGCGGAACTCAGCAAGGGCTCTGCTCATCTTGGTGGCGGCCGTGGGGTGGTCTTTGCCGTGGGCGATGACCTTGACCAGCAGGGAGTCATAGTGAGGCGAGATGACAGCTCCTTGGAAGGCAGACGCGTTATCCAGGCGGATGCCCATGCCCTCCCCACTCCGGAACACCTGTGGGGGGGGCGAGAAATCAGGATCGGCGTTGGACGCTGGGGTCAGCCTGTGGCCCTCACCCTGGGCGGGCTGAGCGTGGGCCCCGCAGCGTGCGGGGAACCGGGCATGGGGTGCCCACGGGCAAATCCCAACTGGCTTGGCGGGTTTGGCTCTGTTTCTGCCACCAAACCCAGAGCCCACCCCTTCCTCTGAGTCCCACAGTCACGGCTGCCTGTTCCCCGACAGGAGCCAGCGAGGATGAGAGAGACCTGCAGCCTCACAGCTTGTGCACAGCCCAGCCCGGGCGCAGTGAGGGGGCTGCCCGCCCTCTCGCCTTGCCCTCATTCTCGTGGCCACCAGTCTGTTCCACGGCATGGATACGTCCGCTGTGAGCTGGACACTGCGATCCAGCCACCAAAGCAGACGTGCCACTCGCACGTGGCACAGGGCTCTCAGACAAGCAGGGAAATGCACATGCTGGTGACAGGGACGCTGACCCATGAGCGAGGGGAGGAGGCGAAAGGCAAGCTGGCCGGAGGGGTTGCTTTGTTTTTAACACACGGTGGTGAGGGGAGGCCTCCTCGTCCACCCACATTCCCTTCTTTCCCTTTCCCTCCAGGAGGAGGAAGAGGAGGGGACGAGGCGAAGAGGAAGGTGGAGACAGGGAGATGTGGAAAGACTGAGAATCAGGGAAAGTTCCGGATGTGGAGACGGGAGCACCCAGGTCCTGTGCCAGCTCACCCGCCCGACAGAGAGGGGTGGGGCAGTGTCAGGGCTCAGGGAGACAGGCTGCGGACCCAGGAGGGCATCCCGGAGAGGGAGGCAGCAGCTGGGGTGTCGGGGTCGCCCCAACACTCGCACACGTGTGTGCTCATGACGGGCACGGGCAAAAGTGCTCCCACAGGCGGCGCCTCCCGGGGGTGTGGGAGGGCAGCCCAGGGGGCTCGGGACACCCGCTGCACCATGTTTCCGCTTCTGAGGGGCAAAGGCCTGCGTTCGATAACAAGGAACTTAATGAAATATTTAAGGGTGAACACGGCTGTGAGCAGGAACTGTCAGCTAAAAATATTCTGTGGTAAACCAGGCTCTGAGGAGCCGGGCCATGGACGTGGGGGTGGACAGAGAAGTCAGGGCCGCTGGGCAGCATGCGGCCTGGGGCTGCCCCCACCCACGGGCTCTGATCCTTCCAGAAACAGGATGCAGGCGGCCAGCTCCCCGCTGAAGCCACAGCTGATGCTCCCAGAAACCAGAGCCCCTGCTCCCCCGATCCTGCCGGCTTCACGCAGAAGCCCAGAATCCGGCTCGAGCCCTTTCTCTCCGCCATGCCCACCCTGGCCAGGGCCCCTGCCCCAGACTCCAGCATGGGACCTGGGCGCCTTCCATGTCCCACTTCCTCAGGGACGCTGGTGGCGGGGTGGGGGACCACCGCAGAACTGGCAAGGTGCTGCTTTCACACAGGCCCCCAGCAGGCCAGAGGGCTCCCCCACCGCTGGGTCCAGAGCCTGGGGGAGGGAGGATGGCTTTCGGGGTGCTGACAGAAGCTCCAGGAAGCCTTCTGGGAGGAGGCATGGGTCCTGCCATGCCGGGAACCTGCCCAGCCACCCACACCCTCCCGCCCCAGCTCTCTCCGCCGGCCGTGGCCACCATCTCGCAGGCCCTGCGGCCCGAACTCTGCCATTCGGTCTCCTCCTGTGCCGCCATCGCCCCGACTCCCTCCCTCCTCCGTGTGGGCCCCGGGCTCGGCTCACCCTCCCCTGGGACACCTGGGCCCAATCCTTTGCTGTCCCCCTCACCCCTCCCGACAAAGCAGGACAGAGTCCGGCAGCGGGCTCTGGGCTCCTGAGGGAAGGCCGAAGGGTCAAGGGTGGGATTTGCCTCTGGGGTCCTGCCTTCTGCCCCGCCTGCCTCCTCCTGGAATGTGCCCGCTCACTGGGCAGTGCCGAGCTCCCACGTGCTCCACGCCCGTGCAGCTGCCCATCCACCGCAACTCGACTCTGCCACCCCAGGGGGCCCTGGAGAACCTTCGCAGACGGTGCCAGCGACCCGCTCTGCTGGAGTGTCCCTACCTCGATGCGGCCCGTGTCCGGCTGGAAGCTGCGCGCAGGGTCCTCGGTGGTGACCCGGCACTGGATGGCGCAGCCGTTGATGCGGATGTTCTCCTGCCGCAGGCCCAGGTCGGGCAAGCTCCTGCCCTCGGTCACGTGGATCTGGGCGTGGACCAGGTCTACACTGCAGGAAGGCCCGGAAAATGGGAGGAGGAGGCACCGTGAGGCAAGGGGTGGACGAGGGCTCCGTAGCAAGGGGCAGTCCCCATCAGACACGACGCTGCCCGCAGTCTCCACCTGTCCCCTGCCCTGCTCCCGCGTGGGTGCTGGGAAAGCGGCCGCTGGAACACGGGCTCCTGCCTGCTCCCACACCCCCTGCCGATGATGTGGCTGGCCCTCTCCAAGCGACCTTGCCCCGCGCCCTGCCCGCTTCCACCCTGGGGTCTCTGCTTTCCCGCCTTCCCTGAGGCCTCCCTTCACAAAGCCCAGACTTGAGGCATCCGCAGTCAGAGGATCCGGACACCCCATCCCTGGCGCCACACGTGCTTTGCTGGGCAGGTGGCTGGGGGCGCAGCTTGTGAGAGAACAGGCGTGAAGGCCGGCCTCGCGGAAACGGGACCCACGCTGTGGGGGGCCTGCTCGGGTGGGGCCGGCTCAGGACTGTCTTCCTGGGGCACGCGCTCCCACTGGGCTCATGCCCCGAACCCCCAGAGATGACTAGAGCACAGGGCTCCCACCTTGCATGGCTTTCTTTTCTTTTTTGTTTAACTGTAGAGATGAGGTCTCATCAAGGTGCCCAGACTGGTCTCGCACCCGTGGGCTCAGGCAATCCTCTCACCTCGGCCTCCCAAAGTGCTGGGATTATGGGTGTGAGCCACCACATCCAGCCTGCATGGTTTTCTAAGCTCACCCTTACTGACTGCCATGATCCTAAGTACAGTAACAAACCCAAGTGGTGCAGCTGTTACGAAAAATACTCGAGTTCTTAAATTTATTGTCACTGAGGCTTGTGGTAAGGACGGAAGGGAGCTGCACTGGCGTGTTTTGTATTGCCTGCCAGACCGCTTCATGGCAGCAGCACTAATTACCATTTATCGCGTGGATGGCGTGTTTACCTGCCACGGACAGGGCCGTGCTCTCCCAGGCTTCACCTCTACAACAACACTCTGAGAGTCACTGTCATCCCATCAGAGGAAAAGCTCGAGGGTCGGAGAGGCTGTAGCTCACCCAAGCACCACACAACTTGGGACCTGGGAGGAACCTGAACCCCGAACCCAATCCATCTGGCACAAAACTATTACTGCAGAGCAAACAGAGACATCTGTTTCAATCCTTAAGACAGCATGCTGCTGGCAGGTTCGAGACTGATGATAATTCATAGCAGTAGGATGGGGCCAGAGTGTAAGGCTAGACCGTCAGCCTTGACTCTAAACCTTCACCCGCTGGGCAAAGGCAGTCACCTGGCAGCGTCCTCAACCTCTGGTGTGGTCAGGGGTTGGGGACGGAATGAGAGTCAGGAATGGAGATGAGATGAACGGTGAGATGGACTGGCCCAAGGCCATGGTCAAACATTTAAATGACTCAAAATCTGTATCTTGAAATGATGAAAGCCATTCTAATTGTTGTTTATAAATTATAGATTTTTTTTGAGTTAGGGTCTCTCGCTCAGGCTGGAGTGCAGTGGTACAATCATGGCTCACCGTAGCCTTGACCTCCTGGTCTCAGGTGATCCTCCCACCTCAGTCTCCCAAGCAGCTGGTACTACAGACACGCACCACCACGCCTGGCTATTTTTTTTTTGGTAGTGACTAAGTCTCGTTATGTTGCCAAGGCTGGTTTTGAACTCCTGACCTCAAGCAATCTTTCCACCTCAGCCTCAGAAAGTGCTAGGATTACAGGTGTGAGCTACCATGCTTGGCCGAGGTGGATTTTTAAAACATGTCTCCACTCGTTGCTTGTGGGAGAACACACTGGTACAGCCCATCTGGAAGGCTGCGGCAAGATCGTGCTTATCCTTGGATCAGGTGATCCCATCAAGGTGTTTATCTTCAGGACGCCTCAGAGACAAAGCCAAAGATTTGGGTACACAAATGATAACTGACAGCGCATGCCTTAGTTCCGGCTACTTGGAAGGCTGAGGCAGAAGGATCACCTGAGCCCAGCAGGCTGATGCTGGGGTGGCTGTGAGCGTGCCACTGCACTCCAGCCTGGGCTATGGAGTGAGACTCCAACTCAAAAAAAAAAAGCAGAAAAAAAATTCTATACAAACATGTCAGTTGCATCAAACTATTCATACAGCAAAGTAAGCCAAAGCGGAAAGAAACATACCAAAAAATTCAGAGTGGGCGCAGCTGGAGACATGACCAATGAGAGACCTGGGTTCCAGTCCCCACTGTGTGGCCTTGAACAACTCTCTCAAACTCTCTGAGCCTTGGTTTCCTCATCTAACATGGGACAAGGGGTCCCTTCCTCGAGTACTACCCTGAGGTGTCCGGCCATGCGCTCTCAGCGTCCTGACTGAGGGGTGGGGCTCTGAACCATTCTTATTCACCCCTTTGTGCTAATTCTCACACTAACCACATAAGACTCTATAATGATGGTTTTCAAAAACATTAAGCACTGGAGCCCTCCGCTGCCCTCCACCAAAGTGGAGCGTGAGCGAGCTCCTGGCCACCCTGGGGAGCCACCAGACGTGAATTTTACACAAGATCTAAATGCCATTCCGGGCACCTCCCACACCCTGCCTCCGCCCCGTCCCGCTGCACTCACTCTGTGATCTCCTCGGTGACGGTGTGTTCCACCTGCAGGCGGGAGTTGACCTCGATGAAATAGTGCTTGCCATGCTTGTCCACCAGGAACTCCACGGTGCCCGCGTTCTCGTAGCCCACCTGCGGGGGTGGCCGTGTCAGCAGGGGCCTGGCGGGAGCCCAGGACACAGATCCCACCCCACCCCACCCACCGAGCTGGTTCCCTAAAAGAGTGACCTACGGCAAGCCTGTCCCCACAGACAGCAGGCCGACCACCAGCCTTACCCCCCAGAGGCCCATGCTCAGGACCTAAGGCCATGCCCCTGCCAGGACACTTCTGCAAGGACTCCACTGGGCTCCAGCCTCCCCCTGTAGCTTCAGAGGGCCACACCCAGTTCGGCGGGGACGAGGACTTGGCAGAGCCCCGCCTGCCCCAGACACGGAGCCGTCTCCCCGCTGCTCTCTTGGCTTCCCCATGGCTCAGACCTGGAGACGCAGGCCCCTCCCAGATCCTGCTTACCCTTGGAGGGGTTTCCAGAAAGTTTCCTTCTAGTCTACTGCGTCACCACTTCTGGCCACCACCACTCAAAAAGATGTCATTTGAGAGGAACCAACAGATAATGACTTTCACTCAAATTTCAACCCTAATTCAGTTTCACTCTTGACCCCACAAAACCACAAACTAGATTTACTCGTCTCCCCCCAATCCATACGGAATGAGAAATGTCATAAGCCCATAAGTAAGACTAAGCTCAAGGCAAAACCACTCTTCCTATGAGGCAGCCAGAGCCTCGGCTCTCAATGAGACCCTAATCAGCGCCTCTCGTTAACTGTGGCCATAGACTCGCTGGCGAGCGCAGACCCTGGCTTTCAGCTTACACCGTCCTCCTCGGCCTCTCTCCTCCTCCTGGCTGCCTGGAATTCTGGGAGGAAGTAGGCCCAGGCCATGGGGCTGTAACCTGGGACACGTGGGCCTGGCCATTGGGAAGACCTGGCTCCAAGGAGGCAGGCCGGGGAAGAGGAGCAGGCAGGAGGACCCTGCCGCACACCCAGCTATGTCAGGTGCCCTCTGGGCCAGGCCTGGGGCAGGTCACTGCGGGGGAAGCAGCTCGCCACCTCCCGCCCCCTCCATACCCCAGGACCGCTCCACTGGGGATGCCAGGTGAGCAGAGCTCGGCAGAGGCACCTGAGCGAGGAAACAGATTGTACTAAGAGTGAGGCAGGAGACAGTCAAGAGTGAGTGAGGAAGAGATACCTTCATCAGAGCCCTTAACCTTGACACTGAATCTCACTCCCTTTATTCCAGGGGTGAATTGATGCCACCGAGAAGCCTAGGGTGTGCAGCAGACGGCTGAGGGGGCAGTCGGGGCTCCTTCCCTCCCTCTTCTCAGCCACCTGGACTCCAGGCTTGGCCTCTGGGCCAGGTGCCTCCACTGTCGCACAGAAAGGATGCCATGGACCCGCTTCCAGCTCCAAGACTCCTTCACGTGCCCCGTCCTCCCATGCTCCCTGGGCTGCCCCGATTCCCACAAACTGACCGCGTGGAAACCCCATCACCCTGGCCATGAGGCCTGCCTGGGCAAGGGGCCAAGCGAGCCTGCAGACACATCTCCACCCGGGGAGGCGTCCGTGCCCTCAGCCCTCAGATCTCTGACACAGCGAGACCCCACCTGCTTAGCAAGTTTGACAGAGTCGCTGGTGAGCCGCGTCCGAAGCTGGGGGTCCAGATGGGCAGCGGGGGCAATCTCGACCACCTTCTGGTGCCGCCGCTGGATGGAACAGTCTCGCTCGTACAGGTGCAGAATGTTCCCATACTGGTCCCCTGGGAAGCAAGGGAAACTGCACTCAATTTTTTCCCGGAATCTAAATGCACAAGGCCAACCTGGTGCGTGGTGGGCGTGGGGTCACCAAGGGCCCATTCCCAAGGCTGGCCACCATGAACCAGGATCGGGGCCTCTCAGCTTCTGCCATGTGCTGCCCTGGCCAAGCCTCTGGGGATGCTTCCACTCACCCAGGATCTGCACCTCGATGTGGCGTGGCTTCTCAATAAACTTCTCCACAAACAGTGCCCCGTTCCCGAAGGCGGCCAGGGCCTCCGAGTAGGCTCGCGTGTAATTCTCCTCCAGCTCCTGGGATGGAAGACAAAGGCCAAGCAGACCTTGGGCCCCACAGCCGTGTCTCACCCTCTACCCAACCACTGCCCATTCCCAGAGCGGGTTCTGCCTGTGCCACTCAGGCGGCCCTTCCCGCTCCCAGGCTGGGCGCCTGTGCTTCACCCACCTCGTAGCTGTGCACGACTCTCATGCCACGGCCTCCGCCCCCATAGGCGGCCTTGAAGATAATGGGGAAGCCGTAGGTGTTGGAGAACTCATGGGCCTCGTGCAGGGACGTGATGGGGGCATCTGTGCCGGGGACGACAGGGACACCTGGTGGGAGATTGGGGGCGTCTGTAACAGGCAGGAATCCCTGCCAAACCAGACAAACGTCCCAGCCGGCCCCTCTCCAGGAGCTGCATGGCCCCCGCCTTGCCCGCTGCATTCACCTGCGGCGATGGCGATGGCCCGAGCCTCCACCTTGTCTCCCATCTTGCGGACCACTTCTGGACTCGGCCCGATGAACCGGACCCCAGCATCCTGGCAGGCTTGTGCGAAATCCGCTCGCTCAGAGAGGAACCCATAGCCAGGGTGCACCGCATCCACATTGTTCTCCTGCAAGGGGCGGTCAGGGAGAGGCCAGCACCCATCAGTCCCTTCCAAGGCCTCAGTCAGTCTCCTCCCCAGCCTCTCCTGCTCGGCTCCATTCATCCATCCATCCGTCCATTCATCCACTCATTCACCCTGCTGGCTGGCAGGGCGCTGGGTACGGCACAGGACCCAGTCCCAGCCTCCAGGATGCCCTCAAGAGACACCCAGGCTGCCTGGTCCCTGTGCGCCAGGCAGCTCACCTTGGCCACCTTGATGATGTCGGGAATGTGCAGGTAGGCCTGCACAGGGGCCAGGCCGCGGCCGATGAGGTAGGCTTCGTCTGCCTTTTGCCGGTGCATCTGGCCCGTGTCCTGCTCTGAGTAGACAGCCACGGTGCGGATGCCGAGCTCCGTACAGGCCCGGAACACGCGGATGGCAATCTCGCCTGGGGGCAAGGGGACGAGAAGTTAGATCCTGGGTCCTAGGAGAAGCAGAAAGGGGGTGCAGGGAGCCAGGGCCTACAACAGCAGGTGGGAAAAGAACACCAAGGCTGGGGCTGGCCCCCAAGTTCCTCTCACTGGCCCCGTGGTGCTCACCCCTATTGGCCACCATGACTTTCTTGATGGGCTTGTACTCCAGGCGCCGGACATTTGGGGAGGCAGCGGGGGCGGTGGAGGTTCGGCGGATACCCAGGAGTCTCAGGCCCCCGTGGATTGTTCGGAACTTCAGCATCTGGGGAGGGAAGTCAGAGCCCAGGTGAGAGCAGCCTTGCACCGAGGCAGCCCAGACACAGGGTCCCTCTCCCAACCCCACGATGACTCCACATCGGTGCCATCTCCCTCTTCAATTCCTGGCCAAGCCCAACATTTCCTGGTGTAGTCCAAGCCCGAATAGGACCCCAAGCTTACCCTAATATTCCGATACTCACTGAAACCTTTGAAATGCAACACGTTGAGCTCTTTTTTGTGTTTTTTTTTTTTTTGAGTTAGAGTCTCACTCTGTCACCCAGACTGGAGTGCAGTGGCCGCTTCCAGCAACCGCAGCCTCGACCTGCTGGGCTCTGGCGATCCTTCCGCCTCAGCCTTCCGAGTAGCCAGAATTATAGGCATGCACTACCACGACTGGCTGATTTTTTTTATTTTATTGTAGAGATGAGGTCTCGCTGCCCAGGCGGGTCTCGAACCCGCGGGCTCAGGCAATCCACTCACCTCAGCCTCCCAAAGGCGCAGGATTACAGGCTGAGCCACCGAGCCTGGCTACGTTGAGCTCTTAAAGCAATTTCAGAAGCCATCGAGAGGCTCTGTGTGGATATGGAAGGCGGACCCTCATTGTCTGACCCCTTCGATGCTCTGCCCAGGCACCCCCCTCACCAAAACTTGCCCCATGTCCCTCTGGCCCCGGCTGCCTAGGAAATGAAGGTAATGATTGGCTTCTCAGATGAGCTGGTCCTCATCAAGTTACTCTCTTTGTTTTGAGTTGGTGTCTCTCACTCTGTCGCCCAGGCTACAGCGCAGAGGCATGTTCATGGCCACCACAGCCTTGACCTGCTGGGCTCAGGCAATCCTTCCACCTCAGCCTTCCAAGTAGTAGCTGGAACTACAGATGCATGCCACCACGCCTGGCTAGTTTTTGTGATTTTTTTTATTTTTTGAGGTCTCACCAAGTTGCCTAGGCTGGTTTTGAACCCCCAGGCTCAGGCAATCCTCTCGCCTCAGCCTCCCAAAGTGCTAGGATTACAGGCTGAGCCACCGCGCCCGGCCCAAGGTGCTCTCTTAGAAGAAGCCTTGGCTTAGTGAAAATGCAGGTTTTAAAAAAATAAAAAATAAAAAAAAATGCAGGTTTTTTCAAACAGCAGTAGAAACCTTCCTTTTTACTGAGGGCCACTAAATAAATTACTAATAAAAATCAACCAAAACCAAGTGAAATACATCAGTTACAAGTGCTGTAAAAAAAAAAAAAAATTTGATGGGGCTTGGTGATTCATGCCTGTAATCACTCTGGGAGGCCAAGGCAGGAGGACTGCTTGAGCCCAGGATTTGGAGACCAGTCTGGGCAACATAACAAGACCTTGTCTCTACAAGAAATCATAAAAATTAGCTGGGTGTGGTGGTGTATGCATATAGTCCCAGCTACTCATGAGGCTGAGGCAGGAGGATTGCTTGAGCTCAGGAGACTGAGGCTGCAGTAAGTCCTGATTGTGCCACTACACTCCAGTCTAGGTGACAGAGTAAGACCCTAACTCAAAAAAAAAAAAAAAAAAAAAAAGACATATCGTAAGGTTCCACTTACATGAGGTCCCAGAGTGGCCAAGTCCATAGAGACAAAAAGTAAGATGGTGGGTACCATGGGCTGGGGGGAGGGGTGGGACGACACACAGATGGGAAGTTAGTACTTAATGGGGACAGAGTTTGAGGTTTGCAGGTTGAAAAGAGCTCTGGAGCTGGACGGGTGATTGTTGTACAACAATGCAAGTGAACTTAATGCCAGTGAACAGTGCGCTTAAAAATAGTTAAGCCGGGCTTGGTGGCTCAGCCTGTAATCCTGCGCCTTTGGGAGGCTGAGGCGAGAGGATTGCCTGAGTCCATGGGTTCATGACCTGCCTGGGCAGCGAGACCTCATCTCTACAATAAATCAAAAAATTAGACGGGTGTGGTAGCACACGCCTGTAGTTCCAGCTACTTGGAAGGCTGAGGCGGAAGGACTGCTGGAGCCTGGCAGGTCGAGGCTGCGGTGGCCGGGAGCGGCCACTGCACTCCAGTCTGAGCAACAGAGTGAGACTCCAACTCAAAAAAAAAAAAAAATCAACTGAGGGCAACTTACATTCTGAATGTAAAGACACTTCAGAGGTCAGCTAGCTCTTCATTTTACAAATGAAGGGAAACCAAGGCCCAGACAAGTCTAAAAGGACAGCTGCCCACAGCAGAGCCTGGACCAGAATTCCGTCTCCTCCCCTGGCCTCAGTGCCTCCCCTAACCATCTTGTTCATTCCTCACTCAAAGCTTAGAACACTCAATTCAGCCATTTTGTTTTAAGTAAGAACCATATAACCATACTCAAGAAATAAAACAAAAATTGCAAAAACCCTAGTGTCTGATTATGACCAACAGTATGGAGAAGGGAAAATAAAGACAGAAGAGAAAGAAGAGAAGATACAAGGAAACAAGTAGGAGAGAGAAGAAGGGGAGAGACCGACAGCCGGGGGAGAGGGCCTCAGCTCTGGGCCTTAGCTGTCTCGGGAACTAACAGTTAAGGGCTCCGCTCCCATGGAAGGCACATGCCAGTGAAAGGAGACGAAAAACAAGATGTGCATAGGTCCATGTGAGAGCATGAAAGGGCCACACAGGTAAGAAATGGTGACATTTTTTGAGTGACGCAGCATGGGGTATTGGGGCTGAGTATTAGCAAAGGTCTCTCTGAGGAGGGCATATATACACTGGGACCAGAATGGGAAGAAGAAGCTGGCCATTCACAGATCTACAGGAAAAGCACACCAGCTAGAAGGAACAGCAAGTGCAAAGACCTTGAGGAAGAGTGAGCTGGTGCGTTCTAGAGAGATGAGGCCGAGAGGTGGAGGGTGGGGAGGGCAGGACCCCGCGGCATGAGGTAGGGCTGAAGGCGTGGGCAGGGCCTGGGGGTCGAGGCCTCCCTCGGGCTGTGGGCAGGACTGCATGTCAGAAAGATCTCTCTGGAATGGCGGGCAATGGGGCCCGACAGACGGCACATGTCTGGGCAACCAGAAGCTGAAGACACAGAGCTTCGGAAAGGGTGGAAGCCATGGACATTGGGGTGGGATAGCGAGATGTCTGGGGGTTCAACAGACAAGATGCACTGAGAGACTCATCATCGAGGACAAGGGAAGGGAAGAAACCCTGGACGGGTGAGCAGAGGTGACTTTTCTGCTCCAGGAAGGACGAGTGAGCAAAGCGGGAAGGGCTGGGGTAAAGACCTGGGCGGCGTCACAGTGGGTGGCATCTGAAGCCACAGAGGGGACATGCAGGAGAGGAGAAGTGGGCCAGTCCTGTTACCCTCGGGTCCAACAATTGAAAGCCTGAATGAGGAGGAAAAGCCAACAAGGAGACCGAGGGGGTCGCCTCCGGGAGAAAGAGGGGAAACCAGAGGGCAAAGTCCTCGGGCAGAAGCGAGCGCTCTCAGGACGGGCATGAGCTGAGTGCACGCCCAGGGGCAGGGTCAGATGGGGACTTAGAAGGGGCCACCATGTATACACAGGACATGGAGAGGGGCACCCAGGACGGACCCCAACCTGGGTAGGGAGGGTAACCTTGCTGGGCTCCAGGCTCCTCATCTTTCCAAAATCTACCTTGCCTTTGACTAATCACAAAGTGGAGAAACCTGGCAGACACCACGTGGCCCAGAGATGACGGTTCACATCGCTAGCACCAAAGAGTCATCACGTGCCTCCTGACACCGTCCACCGACAAGGACACGAAGCGTCCTCAGTCCCATTAGAAGGCGAGAGGCAGGCCCAGAGGAAGGGAAATTCCACACACTGGCTTGGACTCACCAAACGTGTCACGGGCCATGAGAGACAGATTCGAGAACGTTTCAGATTAAAGGAGACTAAAGAGACAATTAAATGCCACATGATCCTGGGTTTCTGTTGCTATAAATGACATTAGGGAACCGCGGACAAATTTTAAATAAGGTCTGTAGATGGAACCGCACTGTGTTGACGCTAGCGTCCTGATCTCAGTCCGGGCTGTGGTTATGTTAGACAGCATCCTCATTTTTAGGAAACACCACGACAGATTAAAAAGTTTAGCAGCATCAAGGCTCCAAGTGACACTCCAGTGGCTCAGGGAAAACCTGGGAACAATGAATCAAAGACTCGTGTTGGGGGCATCTGGGTGAGGGTAGGAGAGAATCCTTTGTACTACTCTTGCAACTCGACTGTAAGCCTGAAATCCTCTCAGAATGACAAGTGAGGGGCCATCCCCCACGAACGCTGCTGGCAGAGATAAGTCCGGAGTGCACAGACTGGTCCCTGCTGCACACGGGCGCGCTGCAGGGAGCTTGGGTGTGGAATGCGCCCCCTTGGAACAGAATGAACAGCAGATGTGAGGGCCCATCTGCCTGTTATCTCCCACTCGCAGATCTACCAGCAGCTGACCTGGTGCTGAGCCCTGCTCTGGGCAGGTGACGGGATACCGCCCACGAGGAGGGCCCAGGCCGTTCTTTCCTAGCAGGGAGCAGGAGACGCTGGCACCAGCGAGCAGGCGTGGGTGTACATTTCACCCTCATTCCCAGGCACCAAATGCCTACTATGCTCAGAGCCGGGAGAGGGCTGAGTCGAAAGCGCCCTTAGGACAAGAGCAGCAACAGAGAACACGAGTGCCCAATGAGTGGCCTTAACCAGTTTCACCACACCAGAAAGCAAGATGCTCGGAATAACACAACAGAGTGCCCTCTGCCTATGGAGGTGGCAACAGGGTTGGAGGTGCCAACATTCAGGCCCTGTCTGGTGATCAGGGCAGCAGCTCTGGGAAACTGTTTGCAAAACCTGTCAAGAACCCTCAAGATGTGTATGCCCCTGGGCCCAGTCATGACCATCCTAGAACCCAACCCAACCTAGACATAGGCAGAAAGATGTTCCAGACAGCATTATTTACAAGAGCAAATTATGGGAAACGATTTCAAGATCCGACACACTGGAACCTAGGCAGAAATTGCATGACCATTAAAAAGAATGCGTTTGCGCAGGTGTGGGTGACAAG